TTCAAATCGAAAAAGGAGTCATCATAAGCGAAGGATAAAATAAAAAAAATATTACAACAACCAACGTTCAAATCAAACTCTTTTTAAGAGAGAGAGAGAGAGAGAGCTTCAATATCACAAAAAAAAAACGATATTCAAATCGATCTCTTTTTAATAGAGAGCCATCGTAACCATGGGATAAAATGATAATTAGTGATTTTTTAGTTTTAAATCCTTTAAAATTTGATGAACAATAAACAAAGACGTGTGTGCGGACCTAGCTATCATCCTCTCACTGCCATGCTAGCTAGTAACCGCAAATCACTAGCATTAAACATTCTCCAAAAATACATCCAAAAGAAACAAAATCCCCCCCACTCCCTCCATCTCCTTCCACTCCAAAATCCCCCTCCCCCCAACTTCCTCCTCCTCTAGGAGATCTCTCGCATCAAAGCAACCTCTCAAATATAGATGGATGATGCTAAGTAAGGTGATATTTTTTTCCTATTTAACAATTGTAATGTGTAAAATGAGAACAATACGGAATAAGAATGCTAATTAGTAGAAAACATATATCCAATCATTTCAAAATGTATTCCTTAGCCCATTAAACGGCTATATCTCCAAAATATGCTTATCACTTGGTGTTCCACCTATCACGTTAAACATTGGCAATGGCTAGAATTGACAACAACTAGAAATGGGAGCACAAAAATATTTATTTAAGTATATAAAGTTGAGACAAGATGTGGTAAAATGTGTTTGGTACATTTTTAGAGAATGTGTTACTATTCGCGTCTATAGAAATGCAATCACTTATCTAGCAATTGTTGTTTGGAAGCATTCCCTATGAGCTAACACAAACACCTAAAGCCAAGAGTTAAAGGAAGAAATTCAATATCACAAGAATCATCTTCAAATCAAATTCTTTTTAGAAGAGATATCGCTTGGTGTTCCACCTGGCACGTCAAATATTAGCAACGGCTAGAAATAGAAGCACACAAATATTTATTCTAGTACATTAAATGGGAGAAGATGTGGTGATGCGTGTCACTCAATTGGTATATTTTTAGAGATTGCGTTACCATTCGCGTATACTTAAATGCATGAGAGGCAATTGTCATTTGAAAGCAATTCAATATGAGCAAATATTATTACCTGAAGCCAAGAGCGATAGAAAAAAAATCAATACCTAAAAAGTCACAATCAAATCAAACTATTTTTAATAAAAGAGAAATATAACTTGATGTTCCACATGACACGTCAAACATAGGCAATAGCTAGAATTGACAACGGTTAGAAATAGGAGCACTGAAATATTTATTATAGTACATTAAATTGGCACAAGATATGATTACGTGTGCTACTCATTTGGTGTATTTTTTAGTACTCACATATAATGAAATACATTCACTTTTTCGACAATTATTATCTGGAAGCCAAGAATGGGAGGAAAATTATTTTTTGTACCGCAAAAATCACGTTGAAGTCGAACTCTTTTTTTTAAGACAATGCCATTACAAACCAAAGGATATAATGATAAATCATCCAATCATTTCAAATTTCAACCAGCAAATCCTTTTAAATTTGACGAATGGTAAAATAAATAAATAAAATAGTGTATACGGGCCCAGCTGTCATCCTCACCCTACCAGCCAAACTAGTAACCGCAGGCACCCGCATTAATTATGCTCGAAAAATAAATCCGAAAGAAAAAAAGGAAATATGAACCGGCTCCCCTCCATCTCTTTCCACTCCACGCTTCACCCCCTCCTTCTCCCCTTATAGATCTCTCGCAGCAGCGCAGCCTCCTCCTCCGTCCACGGCGGTCGGCATTAGAAGCAGCAGTGGGGGGGGAGGGGGAGGGTCCGGGGCGAATATTTAATCTTTTTAATTTTGATGAATAGTAAACAAAAGGCATGTATGCGGGCCTAGCTATCATCCTCCCATTACCAACCCAACTAGTAACCGAGAGCACCATCATTAAACTTCCTCTAAAAATGAATCCAAAAGAAAACAATCGTCTCCCCCTCCATCTCCTTACACTCCACACTTCAAACTACCATCCCCCTCTCCTCCTCCTCGGTAGATCTCTCGTAGTAGAGCAACCTTCTCCGGCGAGGGGATTATTCCCGTCAAATAGCCTCTCAAAACTAGATGGATGTTGCTCAATAGGGTGATCTTTTTCCCTATTTAACCATTGTAATCAATATAAAATATAACAATTCCTAATAGGGTAATCAATATTAAACATATATCCAATCAACTCGAAACGTATTCCTTAGCACATTAAACAACTAAATCCCCAAAATATGTTTATTACTTGGTGTTCCACCTAACAACGGCTAGAATTGAGAAGGGCTAGAAATGGGAGCATGGAAATATTTATTTTAGTACATTAAATCGGGAAAAGATGTGGTGGTGCGTGTCATTCGGTTGGTACATTTTAGAGAATGTGATACTATTCATGTATACTGAAATGCGATCACTTGCATGGCAATTGTTGTTTGGAAGCAATTTCATATGAGCAAATACAATCACCTAAAGCAAAGAATGAGAGAAAAAAAATCAATACCACAAGAATCACATTCAAATCAAATTCATTTTAAGAGAGATATCACTTTGTTCCAGTTGATACGTTAAACACTAGCAATAGCTAAAATTGACAACGGTTACAAATGGGATCATGGAAAAAATATTTTATTACATTAAATCAGGACAATATGTGGTGTTGCATGTCATTGAACAGTTGGTACATTTTGAGATAATTTGTTACTATTCTTGTATATTGAAATGCAATCACACAATTGTTGTTTGGAAGCAATTCAATATGAGCAAATACAATTACCTAAAGCAAACTAGTAACCGTGGGGGCACCAGCATTAAACTTCCTCCAAAACTAGATCCATAACAAAAATAATAATAAATCGCCTCCCCCTCTATCTCCTTCCACTCCACACTTCACTGCCTCCTCGTCCTCCACATTCTCTTTTGATAGTTCTCTTGTAGCAACCTCTAGCATCTGTAATTATTTTGGGAATAATCTGATGCTAAGCAATTATCTAAAACCAAAAAGGAGAGAAAGGAATTCAATATTAGAAATCAATGTTCAAATCAAACTTTTTTTATCGGGAGAATGTTTATCATGGACAAAAAAGTGGGCTTCACATTTTCCTTACTATTTGATGACGAATAAAAGTGTGGCATTTTTCCAGCTCCCAGTTATCATCCTTCCATAGGGAGACCACCTTATAATCATCGTCACCATCATTTAACTCCTTCCACAAAATGAGTAAAAAACAAAACTAAATCACATTCCTCTCCACACTTCACTCCCGCTCCTCTCAAATAGCCTTCTTATATCCCAACATATAAATAACAAAGAAAATATAGATGGATGTGTGCTCCATAAAGTGATACTTTCCTTATTAAACCATTTTTATTTGTAAAATAGGAATAGTTCTAAATGACAATGACAATTAGTTTAGAATTCAATCTTCTCAAAACATATTCGTTAGCACATTAAATGACCATATCTAAAAGATATGCTTATCACTTAATATTGCACTTGGCACGTTAAACACTGGCAACAGCTAGAAATAGCAACAAGAAATATTTAATCTTGTACATTTAATCAGGACAGTTGTGATGATGCGTGTCATTCCAATAACAGATTTTCAGACCATATGTGTTACTATTGGTGTCTTCTGGAATGCAACCGCTCATCTAGCACCCATTGTTTGGAGGCAATTCAATATCAGTAAAGGTATGTACTTAAAACTAAAAATGAGAACAAATAGAATTCAACATCACAAGAGCCAACGCTTCAAATAAAAAAAAGGAGCCATCATAATCGTAGGATAAAATTAAAAAAAATAGTACAACAACCAACGTTTAAATCAATCTATTTTTTAAGAGAGAGAGAGAGCGCTTCAATATCACAGAAAAAACAATATTCAAATCGAACTCCTTTTAATAGAGAGCCATCATAAGTTCATAACCATGGGATAAAATGATAATAAGTGATTTTCTTCAATTTTAAATCCTTTTAAAACATATCATCCTCCCACTGCCATCCTAGCTAGTAACCGCAAAGCATCAACATTAAATATTCTCCAAAAATAAATCCAAAAGAAACAAAATTGTCTCCCCCTCCATCTCCTTCCACTCCAAAATCCCCCTCCTCTCAACTTCCGCCTTCGGTAGATCTCTCGCATCAGAGTATCCTCTCAAAAATAGATGGATAATGCTAAATAAGGTGATATTTTTCCCTATTTAACGATTGTAATGTGTAAAATGGGAACGAACACCGAATAAGGATGGTAATCAGTAGAAAATATATATCCAATCATTTCAAAACGTATTCCTCAGCACATTAAACGATTATATCTCCAAAATATGCTTATCACTTGGTGTTCCACCTGTCACGTTAAACATCAACAATAGCTAGAATATCAAACTCATTTTAAGAGAAATAAAACTTGATGTTCCACATGGCGCATTAAACTTAGGCAACGACTAGAATTGACAACGGTTAAAAACACATGGACAACAGCTAGAATTAACAACGGCTAGAAATAGGAGCACTGAAATATTTATTCTAGTACATTAAATCGGCACAAGATATGATTACGTGTGTTATTCATTTTGTGTATTTTTTTAGTACTCACATATACTGAAATACATTCACTTTTTCGATAATTATTATTTGGAAGCCAAGAATGAGAGGAAAATTATTTTTTGTACCACAAAAATCACGTTGAAGTCGAACTTTTTTTTTAAGACAAAGCCATTACAAACCATAGAATAGAATGATAAATCAGCCGATCCTTTCAAATTTAAACCAGCAAATCCTTTTAAATTTGACAAATGGTAAAAAAAAATAAAAATAAAAGAGTGTATGCGGGCCCAGCTGTCATCCTCACCCCTGCCAGCCAAACTAGTAACCGCAGGCACCCGCATTAAACATCCTCGAAAAATAAATCCAAAAGAAAAAGAAAAATATAAACCGGCTCCCCTCCATCTCCTTTCACTCCACACTTCCCCCCTCCTCCTCCTCCTCCTCCTTCGGTAGATCTCTCGCGGCAGCGCAGCCTCCACCTCCTCCTCCTTCTCCGGCCACGGCGGCCGGCATTAGAAGCAGCGGTGGGGGTCCCGGGGCGAAGAGCGGCTTGCGGTGGCGGTGGCGGCGGCGGTTGGGTAGGTGCGGCGGCCGGCCTCGGCTGCGGCGGCGGCGGCGATGTATAAGAACCAGCTCCAGGAGCTCGCGCAGCGGAGCTGCTTCAACCTGCCGGCGTACACCTGCCTGCGGGAGGGGCCGGACCACGCGCCGCGGTTCAAGGCGGCGGTCAACTTCAACGGCGAGCAGTTCGAGAGCCCCGGGTTCTTCACCACGCTCCGCCAGGCCGAGCACGCCGCCGCGGAGGTCGCCCTCGCCGCCCTCGCCCGCCGCGGCCCTTCCTACTCCCTCGCCGCCCGCATCCTGGTACGCCCACGCCCTCCTCCCCTCTGTTTGACCGCCTCTCTCCTCGTCAACTCCTTTCCTCGCCGCGTTTTTCCCCTCTTGTTGTGGTTGCTGCTCATGGCGGAATTTGGGGGATCTGGTAGGGTTCTTACTCGTTTGATCGTCTCGAATCATCGCTGCTACCGTTGTTGCTGCCACGATTCGTCGTGGAATTGTCGTGAGCTATATCCGTGCCTAGGTGATTGGGTGTTCATGCCGCGAGGGTTTGGGACATTTTATGATGTTTTTTTTTAGCAAAATGTTGGCGAACACGGGAGAAATCTGGCTCGAAAACGCTTTTTCCTTCCGTTTTGTTTTCTCTACTTTCGATCGGATTCGAAGGTTTTCTCAACGAAACCACCCGAGTTGTTCACTTGTTCTGTGTTCGTCGGTCCTAGCTTCGAGGGAATCTGTTTCCGTTGAATTCTCTCTCGTCAGCGGCATGAACTGGGAGCAAGTAATCAGCGAGAGAGAAAAAGTGGCAAATCTTTTTCGCGTTCAAAAAATTCCGCAAACTTTTCTCCTCCTCTCTCAAAAGGTGGGGATTCCTTCGATTCCGAGCGATGGAAAAAGCCACTGTACGAGTAGTACTAGTTCGTTCAATTTTTAATCAGTTCGTTATTTTAAAATAAACAAATATCCACCATATTTTATTTTTAGTACGACTACAGCCTGACACCGTAATTTGTTTACCTTGACACGGAGTTAATTTAATGAACACCACAGCTTACTTCCCACACTAACACGGTGTACTAAGCGCAATTAAGCCTCTTAATCAGCTCGTACTCCGCGCCGGCCATTAATCCCCCTCCGTTTTTAATTTCTCGTTAAATGGGGCTCCTCTCTCTCTCTCTCTCTCTCGCGACGTAACGGCGACGGTACTTGAATTTAACACCCCGCATTAATTGCCGCTTTCGCAGCGGTAATAAAAGAAGCAGGAGCAACACCCCGCGCCTCGGAATTACCGTTAGGGTTCCGTTCTTTTTTTTTCTTTCCCTTTTCACGCCGTTAATTAATTACCGCGGGTGTGGAAATCGGTAGTACGAGTACTAATCACGAAAGTCTCCGTGCCATTAACCGCTAAACCCTGATTACGTATAATGGCGCATTAATGAGGGGGCAATTAAAAACTGGCCGTATGAACTTGACTCATTTGGTAGTGAAAGGCTAGCCTTCCATGAGAACACGTATGCGACCACTACCACTAGTCCACTACTAGTAGGAGGAGGAGGAGAATACGCGATTGTTGATTGACTTGAGGGTGGTAGTGGGATTAGCGAGCGCGTAGGGGGGGAGATTAGTGTGAAAGGAGATGGAGGAGGGAGGAGTAGAGATTAGGTTTAGGTCTTTATAGTGGTGGTATTAATGGCGAGGGCGTGGGAGTGGGTGAGGGGGGGAATTGAATTGGAGACCGCCCGCACCTAACCCGGCATCGCAGGTCAATGGCAGTGGGCCCGGGGGAAATTTAGTGGCGGGCAGGCCCCCACACAGCCCACCATGGATGGCGGGAGGTGTTGTAGTGCATTGCAACCATTGCCACCATGGATGATGGATCATGGATTCATGGTTGGATGGTGCCATGGTGGTGCTGCTGCCATTGGGGGAATGTGGTGAGGTCTGCTGCCGCCTCAGCCCTAGCTAGTGCGGTGTTTGCTTCTCCCTGTCCTGGCTTTAAGGGGACTTGGAAATTATCCGTGGGAGGATTTGGTGCGTGTCGCTGTTGGTGGTGGTGGTGATGGTGCGGGGGCGTCGCTTTGGTTCTTGCCTTTTTAGGCTGGGCCTTTTGGTGCGACCGCCACCGATGTGTGTTGGTCTGCATGGAGATCGTTTTGTTGAAATGGGGGTGATTTGGTATCAGATTTTCTTGTTTGTAAAGGTCATACTGTTTATTGCCATTGTAAAAAAAAACTTCGGCTGTCAGTTGGCGTTTAATATGAATAACTAAAATTTTGCAAAAATAGAAAAGCTTGCTAGTTGTCACAGTGATTTTGAACAAGAACTGGTCAAATGTTAGGCGTGTTCAAAGCTCCTCATAGTTGACTAGTACTGAGGGTTTTGACTGACAGAAACTGATTTGACCATTTGCTAGACGATCTGTCTTTTTTTTTTTCAAAATCAGTCATTATCTCTAAAAGAAATATTTAACTACAGAAGAAGTTACCATATCAATTGACTAAGTCAACAATGGCCTTGTAAGTAATTAAGTGATATAGTAAACTCACTAGCTGACTATACATGGAACTATTGTTCTTACACTTATACTCCAGTACTGCTGCCATGAATATGATAGCATTTCTTTTTTGTGTCTTGAAAATTTATTTACATATATGCTACTCAATGCTAAAAAAGTATCATCTGATTCATTAATCTAATTGAACTTGCGGTCAACTCAATACAGTCTTTTAAGTGCTGATGGTTGCACTCTGTATCAATTTTTATTAACTAATATACATGAAAAAAGCTTGGTTCATTTTATCCTTAAATTACCTAGCTAACTTGGAGTTGACTTGTATGTTTCTGTTAGTTTGATAGATGTTCCTTCTTATTCATTGCCCCTTTATTATCACCTGATCAGTTCACAGACTGCTCAACTAACACCCCCCATATTTAACCTCTTTTAAATCATTATCCTTACATTTGAAGTATTGTTCTGTTCAGCAATACCTTAATCCAGAAGTCAATCTTCCTTAGGATTCTGGTGCCTTTTCTTCTTTTTTTTTATTTGGTTACTTCTGTTTCAATCAAGACTGAGTATTAATGGAAGTTTAACTAGCTAACATGGACATCATTGTACTCCTGTCATGAACTATTTTGCCAAGCTGTCTGTTAACCTTTTACATTTTCTATGATTTATGTTACCTTGCAATATGATCTGGCACCCACAAGTTTCATTCCTTGGTTTGTACTGTAAATTTTCCAGTCAGTTAATACATACTGTGATATGTTTCTCTTAAACAGGACGAAACAGGGGTTTACAAGAACCTTCTCCAGGAAGTAGCACAGAGGGTTGGAGCACCATTGCCTTCGTATACAACAGAGCGATCTGGGCTTGGCCACCTTCCGGTTTTCACATGCACAGTAGAGCTAGCTGGGATTACATTTACAGGTGATCCTGCTAAGAACAAGAAACAAGCTGAAAAAAATGCTGCTTCAGCAGCTTGGTCTTCTCTGAGACAATGTGAGTGTGACTGTCACCAGTTCCTTTCATAGTTCGTTCCACTGTACCATTGGTTAAACAAACAGTGTTGCCATTTCTAGTTCAATTTTTTCCTGCAATAATCATGTTTGACAAAAAAGTGTGGAAGATTTTGCAGTATGTTAGAAATGCTCATTGTGGCTTTAGAAGTGATTGTTTTGGTTTAGGTCCTTCAGAATATAAATGATTTGCTTGAACTTATCTAGCTAGGTGCACTTGTTTGTTGTGCGCTTGAACTTATCTAGCGGTCATAATGTTTGTTTTAGTTTGTGTGGAAGAATACCTGATTAGATGATAATTTGTTGTTGACATGTACTGGTCCATGCTCCATAGACTGTAATATCCATATTAGACAATTTGATTAGAGCAGGAGGAATTATATGACAACTTTGGATCTTATCTTGGGAAAAGACAAGCAACTCTAAAGTAATGTTGATTTAGTATGAACAATAATTAGATCAAGGTTGCTTGTTAACACCACATTTCTCACCATGTTACGTACACTTAGGATCACACAAAACCTTTATTCATTCCTCCGGACATGTAAGTTGCAACCACATTAAGGTAACACTAAATGACTGCAAGAAAGTTCATGTTTAAAGCCACTTTATCATGGTAGGAATGTTTTTGTTTGCCTTCCGTTAATGCCACAATTTTGGCACACACAAATTTTGTTAGTCGGGGTTTCTGTACAGAGGAGCTGTACTTATTTGAACTTTTACTGAAAGTTCTATGTCCATATTCATTTTTCGGTTTAATGCTATGGAGTTTCTTTACAATGTTATTATGTCAGTTATATGTTGAATTGTATCATTACTATTGCATAATACCACTTATTTCTCCTATTTGGAACAGTGGTACGTCAGGAAGCGAGTTCATCAAATGAACCTGAGAGCAATGATGAGCAGGAGCAGATCAGGATTGCTCGAGCTCTTCTCAACTATCGCCTGAAGGAGAAGATGGCGATGGCCAATAATCCACATGCTTCACCCTTCCCAAAGAAATTTCCGATGCAGCCCGAGAGGAGGACAGCATTTCCTCAATCCTCTCACTCCAGCTACTCGAAGATTCTCCCTCTATTTCGCCCCAAGTCTAATTCAAGGTCAAGGCCAGAGTCGCCAGCAGCGTCTGATGCAGCATCACAGACTCCTTTCCGGCCAACTGAAAGTCCAAATCCAAGGTCAAGGTTCCCCGCTGCAGAGGCGGCTCCTTATGTCCCAGTTGGGCACTTCCGTATGCCTTGCCATAGCATGGCTCCTCCAGTCACAGTCAGGACTTCTATCCCTGTTTTCTCTGCTCCACCTCTCCCACCCCCAGGTGCGCGGACACAACAGCTTCCTCCTCTCATGAGCCACCCGCCGCCAATTCGAATGGCTTCCCCGGTTCGCATCAGGCCAGCTCCTCCTCTTTTTACTCCTTCAGCAGTCCAAGGGCCGAAACCTATGATGCCTGTTCAGATAAAGGATGTGCAACACCAACAAATAAAGGAAACCCGGTCACCTGTGATGCCTGTTCAGGTGAAGGATGCACAAAACCAGCTTCTTAAGGGATCCCTTTCACCTGTGATCCCTGTTCAGATAAAGGATGTACAATCCCAGCCACCGAAGGAAGCGCTGTCACCTGCGATCCCTGTTCAGATTAAGGATGTACAACTCCAGCCTCGGAACGAACCAGTGTCAATCGGTAAGGGGGTGGTTCCATTGCCAGCGATTAGGCCTCCGGTTAAGGTTGAGGCTCCAGCTGAAGTCAAGGAAGCTTCACAACCTGTTGCTGGTTCTTCTGTGGTGCAATGCAAGGCTGATACATCGCCGGACTCTCTTCCGAAAACCCAGTTGAAGACCGCCAACGCCGACAACGCTGACGCCAAGGATGATCATCTCCCGGTGGATGCTGAAGAAGTGGAGGACATCATCAGGCATCTCGAGCTCAAATAATTTCAGAAAGCGTCAACGAACGAATGGGGCGTCATCTTCTGTCAGATTTTGTAATTAGCTGCCTCCTCCTATGCACATCCCTTTTCTGTTTTAGTTTTGTTTGCCTTTGGTTCGGATTAGGGGCGCTGGGCAAGCTGCATTTCTCGTAGGGGACACCTAGCTTTTTTTTTTGTTCAGAAGAGAGGGAAAAAAATGGACAAGACATACATGCAGTGGTAGGCGGTTTGCCCGTTGTTTGGAGATGGATGGTTGGTTATACTTCCCTGGATATGCAGTTGGTGGTCTGCTTTTACCCCCAATGATGAGGTGGATATTGTTGTTGCCTCTAGGGAAGGAAATTATGTGGCGGCAGTTTTACCTCCTAAAATTTCTCCTAGTCATTCTCCTAATCCTCTTATTACTATTATACTCCTGCTTTGCCATGCTGATGTTTAGAAGTTGGTGATAGTAGAGCTGTAGAAGTAACTATCTTTTCTCACTAATTTTTGTCCTTTCGGAATGAGTGTGTGAGATGTTAGAAATTGCTGCATGGTACTGGCAGCTGGTCCCTGACCCTTCTTGGCCATGAGCGAATTTGGGACCGCTGGTTGTGGCTTACGGTTGCTTCAGTTCCGCGATTAACATCACATCATTGTCTTACCTTAAAAAAACATCACATCATTTGCCTGTCAACAGGGCTGGGGAGAGGGAGGGGTTAGCTCAAAGTAATCAAGTGTCTGTCTGTTCTGGCTTGGTGACCACAAACCTACCTACCTGTGAGCTGGTACTTGCTGCTTGAGCTCCAATCCAAACCCCGTAAGTACTAAATTAAACAGCTACTAATCAACGGCAAGAAAACAAAACAAAGACCCATAATCATTTGCTCACTTGCTGATGAAGCGATGGATCTCCTCTCCTCTCCTCTGCAGAAAGGAGCAGAGGAAGTTGCCGTTGCAGGATTGCAGCAGCAGCTGGGGTTTGGGGTTTTGCAATGCATGGAGAGCATGTGGCGCAGCAGCAGCAGCTGGGGATACAGGCGTTGGTGGCGTGGCTTACTGGGGGTTTTGACCCGGCTACAGTGTGCTGACCCAACCGCCGGTGCTGCCGTATAGGGCGGCCAATGCCAATGCATGCGTGCTGCCTGCATCTGCTTGACTGCTTGTACGAGAAAACAGACAAACCACAACGGTGCAGGGGAGAGATTAACCCCAGCAGTAGTGGTGGTACTGTGGTGTGAGATGGCCAAAAATTATGTCGCTCTAGCAACGTTCTGGTCCGGAACACTCAACGCACATATTTCACCGGCAAGAGATTTATAAAACGAGATTTGGTGGGAAAGACGTCTCTTTAAATAACTTTTTTTGCGTAAAATACATGGCCGGTCCCTAAACTTGTGTGGTGGTGTCACTTAGATCCGTGAACTTGAAAACTGCATGTTTAGATCCATGAACTTGGTTTAATGTACCACCCCGGTCCAAACATCCTTTGACTGCGTTTGACCGCATGCCACGTAGGCAACACTTTTGCTCTCAGTCCCCTCCACATCACAACACATCGCATATATCTTCTTATAGCTATATATAGTAACACCAAAATCCAAAAAAAAAAAAATCAAATCGTTCTCCCCTCTCATTCTTCTCCTTGCATGTATAGAAAATGCGGTTCCGATTAGCAATTGCTATTGCTCCACACTCCAAAATAAACTTATCCTTACATCCTTACACAACGGGCACTTGATCAACAACACATTCTTCCGGCCCTTCAAGACGAGGGTGAGCTTGTAGAATCCATGGGGATGCCTACCGTGCAAGCCGCATTGCGCTGCCTCCCATCACAAATCTGGCCGCAGTGTGCCACCGCTAATCCTGCTGTACCCTGTACTGCGCTGCCTCCTGCCGCTAATGTCACTGCAAGACCGCCACAACCACTGTCTTTTGGTCTCCCTCCGCTAACCTCACCGTCGAAACCCTAGACGATTTAGGGATATTTTTGGGGATTTGGGTTGAAATGCATTGGTCAGGGCAAGTTATGTGCGAAGATATATGTGAAGGGGGCTGAGCATAAAAGTGTTGCCTACGTGGCATGCTACATTGGCGGTCAAACGTGGTCAAAGGACGATTAAACGGGGGTGGTACATTAAACCAAATTCACGGATTTAAATATGCAATTTTTAAGTTTATGGACCTATGTGACACCACCTCACAAGTTTAAGGACCGGCCATATATTTCACTCAAATTTTTTTAAGAAGAAATTGTGAGCGTGCTGAGGATTGAACACGGGACATCGTGGTTGAAACTACACATCATCTGCCTCTGAATTATTAAGTGCATCTCTCGGCAAGAGTTTTATAGCCTGCGTTTAAATTCTGACGAGCGGTTTATACGGGAATCCGAAAAATCTTGGTTTTCTAGCTCCTGACTTCAATTTATTTTCTGAATTATATAGCTACAGATTTATAGGATATGCATGAGAATATAGACTATGTGAAGAGTTTTATTTGAAAGAAGCTATAGCTACTCAAAGCTTTCCAACAAAGTTTTGATGCCACATAAATCATAGCCGGGTAGACTTGCTAAAGCCTAAAACCTAGCCCTGAGTCCCTCACCAACTGAACCGGTTAATGATTTTTCAAATTGTTAGATTTCCGCCCCTCGACGTGAAATTGGCTGGTACCCCTCGAACTATCACGCTCGATCGAATTACCCCCCCCCCTCCCCCTGAACCACGAAACCAGACATTTTACACCTTCAAGTATTCATACCGGACAAATTACCCCCCTGAGCACTTCCAAAGTGGTTTTAATCTTACGTGGCATACGTGCGACGCCGACGTGAAAATCCAATCAGTAAAAAAAATAAAAAATATAGGGCCCACATGTCATATAAATCACCTTATCCTCTTTCTCTCTGTGGTGGGCGAGCGAGCAAGCGGCGGTGGGTATGGCTAGGTGGCTCCGTCCGACGAACAGTGGCAAGACGTGGAGCGAGGTGGCAGCAGCGATGGCAGCGGGATCCTCCTTCCCCACCGTCGCGGCGCCATCCGCCGCCTGAGCGAGCCCCGCCTCCCCTGTCGCGCTCGTCGGTGGAGCTCGACAGGAGACGGGGTTGGGAGACAGTGGCGGGCGGGGGCGGAGGCCGCGCGGACGGCACCGAGAATGGTGGCAAGCGGGTGAGGGTGGGGGTAGGCAGAACTTGCTCGGGGGCTGGCTGCGGCGGCGGAGGCGGAGGTCGCTCGGGTGGCCGGCGGAGGAGGAGGTAGCTAGAGCGGCCAACGGGGGAGGCGGGGCTCACTCGGGCGGCGGACGGCGGCACGCGGGGACGAGCGGCGGCGTGAGATGAGGAAGGGGAACCGGTCAATGGGCTTCGCGCAGGGAAGGGGAGGGGGGCGGACACCGCAGTGCCGGCGTGTCGCCGCCTTGCTCCACGTCCCGCCGCCCTCGCCGCTCACCACCCGCTCCCCGCGTGGCGTGTGCGCGCCGACCACCCGCCACAGCTTGACCTACTCCCGACGGCCCGAGAGAGAGAGGGGGCAAGAGAGAGACATGTGATAGAGTATATATGACAGGTGGACCCACCAAAAAAAAAGAAAAGGCTGACTGGATTGCCACGTGTACGCCATGTAGAACAAAACTGCTCTGGATTGGGTCGAGGGGGATAATTTATCCGGTGTTGAAAGTTCAGGGTAAACGATGTCTGGTTTTCGGGTTTAGAGGGTAATTCGGCCGACCACGATAGTTTAGGAGGGTAATTCATATTTTTTCCGTAAATAAATGATTTTAACATGGCTGGATGCCCTACATGTCAATCACTCCACCCCCTTCCTCCCCCTCTATGCACGCATTAACTTTTTTCTATTAAAGTGCCTCGATTGGTCGCTACCTCGGTTAGGGTTTTGCAACGAGATTGGCAGGAGCAGCAGCAGTATAACTTTGAACACGTCTGCTACCTCTGTTTTAAAATATAGCAACATTCAGATGAGACATATATTAGGCTGTGTTCGGTAGCAAGGGATGGAAACTAATCTTTCCCGCACCGAAAACGGAGCGGTTCATTAGCACGTGATTAATTAAGTATTAGTTATTTTTTAAAAAATATATCAATATTATTTTTTTAAGCAACTTTCGTATAGAATTTTTTTTAAAAAAATGCACCGTTTAACTGTTTTGAAAAGCGTACGTGTGGAAAAGGTGGGGAGTGGGTTTCCAACTCCTTTTGCCGAACGCAGCCTTGGTGCTACGAATATGGACGGACCTTTTCATTCAGGTTCATAGTATGTGTTCAGCCTTGGGTGCTAACAGAGATGGTAACATTGGAGTAACATGCTAACAGACTAGTCCTGGTGCTACTATATGTAGAGGTGGCCAATGGCCATTGCTCCATTTAACCAGCAATGAATTCGCCATGGAGGAGGAGGAGAGGAGACATCGTTTTCCAGCTCGCTGTGCCGTGCCAACCGGAGCTAATAATTGGGGTGAAGCTATAGCAGCTACTACTACTACACTAGCGAGTGCATGCAATGCGATGTGCAATGCGATGGAGGAGAATTGATGCGGCAGCATGGACGGCCAGCTAACCGGAGGGCGCCCAATTTAATGGCTGCTAGCTGCTGCTGCTGCTGCTGGCTCCCACCCTCCTCCTTCAAAACCACAATTTATTGCGACTTGCGGCCATATGTCTCTCTCTCTCTCTCTGCACACGCATAGTGCTCATACAGTGTGCTGCTGCTGCTATCTGTGCTAGGCTGAGCTCTACGACTGCAATATCATGTCGCTGCGTTGATCCGTTGGAGCTAAGCTGATGAGCCAGAGGCAATGCAGTGCAGGCTGCAGCGGCTCGAGATCCTGCGAGAGGAGGTGGGTGTCGGAGAATGAACTCCTCCACCAGGGAACCGTGAGGCCCCCCTTTGTGAGTTCGGCCGGGGGCAGCGGGTGAGATTCGAGGGCTTGGTGAGCGGAGCTGTGTGATCTTAAGGGGTTAGGCCCCTCCAAGATGATGAGACAAAAGAGATTTATACAGGTTCAGGCCGCTATGAAGTGTAATACCCTACTCCTGTGCATGATTGATTGAATGTAGAACACCAGTGCTTGGGGTTGCGAGACCCAAGCGCCAGTTTGCTCGGAAGTCCCCCCCTCCACCACTAGGCCTAGACCTCCTTTTATACCTCCCGGGGTTACCACATGGGCCCAACAACCTAACCTAGCTCCGGTGGAGAAGTATTATAATCTTTACATTAAATGCATGTCTTGTCTCTTGACTTGGGAAGCCAAGCACACGTCGTCTTGATGATGGGGCCTGTCAAATCTTGCCACCTGACACGGGGGGTGCCCCTGTCAGTCACCATTTAATGGGTGAAGACTTCTGGGCTCCTATTACACCGGGAAACGGGAGCCTTGCTTTGACCAGAGCGGGAGGACCGACTCCGGCTGGGA